TCATTTATTTCTTCATACTTTCACAGATTTCGGTGTGCTGCGCTGCTCGTGCGCGAGATCTTTAACGGTTTTTAACGGTCAGCAGAGGGCGCGTCGCCGCTGTCGCGCTCTCACCGCCGCTCATTTGCATAGCACCGCCCTTTGAGTATGTCAGCCGTCCAATAAGCGTGCGGCAGGAGACACCCGCTACACCCGCGCCGCATCAGAGCCGCCGCCGCCTGAGAGCTCCATCCGTCCGGCCAGAGTGAGAGGCTCCAACCCGCGCCGAACATGACGGACGGAGAAGCCGAAGACGAGATCCAGTTCCTGCGGACTGTGAGTACCGCGCTCTTTCTCTCTGTGTGTGTGCGTGTGCACGCGCGTGTGTGTATGTGTGTGTGCGCGCGCTCCGCAGTGGTGCTGATGCTGCGGGAGTCACCGGCGTCCGCTCGGATCTGAGATGTTGAACGTGGGTGTGAGGAAGCAGAGCCGCTTCATAAGCGCTTATAAACCGCGTATGTCACCTTTGCTCTTGATGAAGTCAACACTGCAGACTCTAACCGTGATGTCATGCTGCATTAAAGCCGCAGATTATTGAAACCAACGGCAAAAACCCCCGGTTATTGTTCAGTGAGGGAGATGTGCTGCATTAACAGACAGCCTGAATCACTGATGATACAGCACATCCTTCACCGCAGGCACAGTTTGGGAGCTAAGGAGGCTTGAATGATTGACTGATTGGATGTATATGGTGTTGATTATTGATGACAGGTGTTGATTGTGTGTTATTTATCTAAAGTTTCACTGGAAACACCAGCATTGATCTTGTCTGATATTGTTGTTACTGTGATGTCTGATATACGGAGTGCATCATGTTGCTTGTGATCAATACGGCGAGGTGCTATCGGCTGTGGCTTCTTTGCATTCATGAGTGTCGTCAGTGCAGATGTTTGCAGCATCAGTGTGACTGTGGTTTGTCTAGATTAGAGCCTCGTGCATCAGTTCTGGCCCCAATCGATTGCTTGATTGTTGATCCAGCAGGACAGAAACACTCTGATCGGCCTGATGAATAGATAGAAGTGTTTTCTTAGTGCACCACCATCGCTGTCAGTAAACACACCAGCAGAAAATCATTAGCCAGCATGTTGAAAATGCCATTGATTCACCCACCACCCCCCCTCCTCAACAGCTTAGTGCAGCGCAGGTTAGACGGGGCTGAGTGTGTCCAGCGTGTGTATGCATGTGTGTCAGGCTTTCCATGAACACACTTACATCACTGTAATGGCATTCACTGGACATGATGATGCATCTCTAAGAGGAGCTGGATCTCAGCAAAGCTGTCTGGCGGATATTCAGTATAATTTATCAGAAAGAGACAGGCTCAGAAAATTTTAAATTAAAGTTAAAATAACAACGAGTAAGACTAAAATGTTATAACAAGGTCCGACTGGGTCAGTTGGCGTTTCTGTGTGGAGTTTGCATGTTCTCCCCGTGTTGGTGTGGGTTTGCTCTGGGTGCTCCGGTTTCCCCCACAGTCTAAACACATGTGCTATAGGGGAATTGATGAACTTAATTGATTGTAGTGCATGAGTGTGTGTGGGTGTTTCCCAACTGGAAGGGCCACTGTGTAAAACATGTGCTGGATAAGTTGGCGGTTCATTACCCTGCGGAAACCCCTGATGAACAAATTGGAGTAAGCCGAATGAATGAATGAATATAAGTATACAAATATATATACAGTTGAAGTCAGAATTATTATTATCATCATTATTTTTTTATCCAATTGCTGTTGTACGGAGAGAAGATTTTTTCAACACATTTTTAATCATAATAGTTTTAATAACTCATTTCTAACTAGGTTAATTAGGTTAACTAGGCAGGTTAGGATAATTAGCCAAGTTATTGTATAACAGTGGTTTGTTCTGTAGACTATCAAGAAAAAATATAGTATAAAGGGGCTAATAATTTTGACCTTAAAAGGGTGTTTAAACAATTTAAAACTGCTTTTATTCTTGCCAAAATAAAACAAATAAGACTTTCTCCAGAAGATAAAATATTATCAGACATACTGTGAAAATTTCCTTGCTCTGTTAAACATAATTTGGTAATTATAAAAAATAAATAAAATCAAAGGGGGGTGAATAATCAGACTTCAAGTGTGTGTGTGTGTGTGTGTGTGTGTGCGCGCGTGCGTGCCTGTACCTCGAAGCAGTAGTGAATAATAAGTGGAACTTCAGTGTCATGAAGATTGTTTTTGTGTTTTATTATTATGTTTTTAAAATTAATTTTACTTTTTAAAAATAAACTATTTACTTCATTTTTTATGTATTTCCCAAGTGCTTATATACAAAACATGCATATTAAAAGCAAATAAAGGTCTACAATTATATAAAAATAAAACAACATGCTTTTTAAAACTAATTTTAAAATAAATCACTTGTTTTTATTTGTTAAATTAGTTTTTTTTTTTTGTTTGTTTATTTTTAACTATAAAAAATTGCTGGTAGTTTATTTTTGCTTCTGACAAAGTAAACAGGAAAATAATTTATTTTATTAATAATAATTTTTCTTCTTTGACAAATATATATCATAATTTTAATCATGAAGCATTTATATGCCTTGATAGTATGTTGCATTTAAAATAAAGTTTGGATTAAATTCCAATTGTGTTGAACATTTCTGCTTGAATAATTTCTTAAAGTGTTTATCACTTATTGCTTTGCAAAAATTAAAAAATCAAGCATAGAGCATTTATATTAACTGTATAAATGGAACAAGTGGTTAATATTGCAGTTCTCTTATTTTGTATAATTTTTTTTGTATAATTTAACTTTTTTAAATGCAAATATTTACTTTAACATTTATTTTATCTTTTTTTTACAATTAAATAAAAATGAAACATGTTTTTTAAAATATATTTAAAAATAAATAGCTTTTTTCTTTGCTTATTTTTAGTTACCAGAAATTGTTGGTAGTTATTTGCTCATGTTATATTTGCTCATGACCAAAAAAAACAAAAAACAAAAAAACCAAACCAAAATGGAAAAAAAAAACAACAAAAAAAACAGGAACATTTATTTAATACATTTTTAATAACCATTTTTCTTCTATGACAAATATTTATAGTAATTTTAATCATAAAGCATAATATACCTTGATAGTATACTTTATTTAAAATTAAATTTGGATTAAATTTCAATTATGTTGAATATTTCTGCTTGAAAAAAATCTTAAAGTGTTTATCACTTATTGCTTTGATTCTAAAATTAAAAAATCTAACAGAGCGTAATTATTAACTGTATGAATAGAACAAGTGGTTAATATTGCAGTGCTCTTATTTTGTATAATTTGTTTTGTATAGTTTAACTTTTTTCAAATGCAAATAATTACTTTATACATTTATTTGATCTTTTTTTTTAGAATTAAATAAAAATGTAACAACATGGTTTTTAAAATAGATTTAAAAATAAATCACGTTTTTTTTAATTACTAGAAATTGTTGGTAGTAAATTTTTGCTCATGACCAAAAAAATAAATAAATAAATAAAAACCAGGAACATTTATTTAATACATTTTAATAACCATTTTTCTTCTATGACATAAATTTAAATTAATTTTGTTCATTAAGCATTTATATGCCTTGATAGTATATTTTATTTCAAATAAAATGTTTATTTAAATTCAATTATGTTAAACATTTCTGCTTGAATAATTTCTTAAAGAGTTTTTTACTTTTTGCTTTGATGCATAAATTAAAATATCAGACATAGAGCGTTTATATTAACTGTATGAATGGAACAAGTGGTTAATATTGCAGTGCTCTTATTTTGTATGATATTTTGCAGTGAATCGTGAGCTGCACATGTTTACATGCCATGTCTCGGCGCTGTGATGTAATCTTACAGACTGGAGTCTTGCAGTGTAACCTGGGAAAGAGATTTTGTAACGGCAGCGAGAGCATCAAACTCTCTCTCTCTCTGCACACAACATTAATATTTAATAAGATTCTGCTGTTACATAATGGAGAGGCAAGATAAATGAGCAGAGGAGTGCGCGGATCTGTCTGTCTGTCTCTCTCCTCTCCTGTCGAGCTCAGAGTTGCAGTGTGACCTGAAAACAAACTGTCATGTCATCGGCAGACAACCTCACCGGCCACGTGGAGTTCAGGCGCTCTGATTGGACGCCACATCAGCCAATAGCAGCCGCCTCATCTTTGCATGATTTCAGGATTGTTGCATGTTAATATAAGGATTGTCGGGCATCACACGTCACTTACAAGCTGCTTTACTGAAGATATTGTCTTGTTTTAAAAACATATGTCAAAAAAAAGTCAGTTTTGCCCTAAGACAAGCTAAATAATCTGTCAATGGGGTAA